CCAGCATTTGAATGCCAGAGACTGCAACTTGAATCTAGAAAAACTTTCCTATGAGGAGAAAACCAAGAATGGAGGCTCCTCATATGTGCCCTTTAGGAACATGATACGTACCCAGGACTCAGATGAGACTCAGTTTTCTTAGTGCTCTATTGAGATGGATCTGATGGAAAGTCACGGATGAGTCAAGAGGATGCCATGTGAAGGATGGGTTTAACAATGACAGAAAAAGCCCAGACGTGATTATATTCAGCAACCTAGCAATATGAGAATCTTCTTCTGTCAAACAAGCTACAATCTTGCCCAGATTTCTCCCTGCACCCCTGCTGTGTTACCAACACAGGCCAACATAATACATTGTCTCCATTTCCTGTTGATGTAGCCCCAGTGCCTCAAGCTATAAAACTGAACTCTTTAGTCAGCTGCTGTACCACTTCCTGAGATAAGTAGCCAGTTTCCAGTGGCTTCTTGCTTCTTTCTTTCCTAGTCCCCAACTCAGATCTACATTTATGTTTCTGTATCCAACACATTTCTTCCTCGATCATATTTTGTACTTGTAGGAGTCATGGTAGTAACGAGCAACAAGGTTAAGAAGGAGAAATGGCATCTATCAGAAACATGCGCAGACTGACAAAGTCTATGGGGATGCTAGAAAAACAGTGTGAGTAGATACTATGACAGGTTGAGTGTATCCCTGATAAAGCATGGCCAGCAAGGATGTCACTGTGACACCATGTCACCTTGTACCTTTGCTGTCCCTGCCAAGCCTTCCACCCCAACCCAGAGCACCTCTTCACCAATTCACTTAGTGATGGGGATCGTCCCCAGTATTCTTTTGTGACAGTCACCAAGAGACAATGGCACTTATTAAATTTTTTCAGCCCCTATTTTCTTTAAAGGTTCTAAGTAACAAATTTTACACATTCCTCAGCAGGAAACTTGATTGTCCTGTGACTGGAGTTTCCCTACCAGAGTTTTCGTACAAAGGACCATTGGTTCCTCTTTGGGTGTGCTTCAGTTTTAAGCCCCATGCAATCAGCTAACATGGATTTTCTGCCAGGTGATTTGCCGTGTTTTCCAACAACTGAATGAATACATTTATTGAGTAGGCACAGCTTGATATTTTCTGGCGGTAGCATTTTATTGATTTGCTCTTTTGTAATCAAATCAAATAAACAAATATTCCTAGGGACCTGAGCAGAGCGAACATGACTTAAACATTTATTGAACTGGATTTGTTATTCTGTGAAATTTTGCTGATAGGCACACTGGACCGTGTAAGATGAGCTATGACATGTAATAAACCACACACATTAGCCACAGAACTAAGTCTGCTTTTGTCTAACCTGTCCGGATACTTTAGCACTAGCTGAGGAGGAAAAGCCCTATGTAATGGTCCTTGCTCACGCAAGTATGATTTCAACTAGAAAAAAATTATTTCCAGTCTGGAGGCTCTTTTCTCTAAGGAACTCCAAACTGTGACTACATTTTACATGTGTTTTTAATGTTGGTATTTAAAGAAAAACTAGTAGAAGTCCATCAAATAATTAATTTTGGAAATATGTGATCTATTAGGGACACACATGAGTAAGACATTGACTGAATTTTTAATCTGTGAGCCACCATTTAAGATGTTATGTTGACCTAGTCAATATTCTTCATATATACCATTGGGACCAAGAGCTTTGAGAAGGTGAGAAACCAGAGTGCAGAGTATCCTATGTATTGCTTGTATTCACAAAGGTCATCAGCAGAATCAATGACTAGGTTATTTTGCTTTTCATAAGGTGCAAGGAAATAGTTCCCACCAGGCCCTTTGCTGTATCTCAGAGGCTAGTCACATCCTGATTCTACTAACACTGCATATGGGAAATTAAATCTAAATCAACCATAAAAGTATCTCTCTCCTTTTTTCCTTCCCTTCCTCTTTCCCTCACCTCTTTCTTTTTTCTATGTCTGTCTGGAAAAAGACTAGGGCTTAACAAGTGGAACTGGAACTGGATCCCATTTATGCACTATTCTACAGGGCAGAAGAGCACAAGGCTGTCAACCTTGTCATCCTGTGTGTCAGGCCGAGTGCCAGCAAATAAAGCAAGGGCTAGTTTGAGGGAAAACGGTAGGTTACTGTTTGTGAGAACGGTAGTGACTGTTGGTGGTTGCTGTAAGCGAGCAGAGCGGAAAGATCCTTTGGCTTATAGAGTTGCTCAGACAGCACGGTTTGAATGGAATGTACGTTTCCTCCATGAATCCCAAAGCTCTTGGAGCTGAGTTCTGCAGCTGCCATGCATTCTGTGCTTGGCAGCGGTGAAAAGGACTGTCTTGCATCCGTTACAGATGCACTGGAGTCCTGGCTCCTGACCTCAAAAGGATCAGGTGCTCCCTTTCAGATGCCTGGTGGTGTAATCCTAGTTGAGAGGGACAGATTGGGGTGACTGGTGATTTTCAGGTTTCCTTTTGATCTTCTGGACCCTCATTTGCCGCCTGGCCACATGTGCATTCCAACCTAGCAACTGCCCCTCACCTTCCCCATGGGGCAGCCCACCTGCTTCCCAGTGCCCCCTTTGAAGTGCAGTGCTGAGGGCTTCCTTTCACAGGGCACCCATCACTCATTTGCTCTCCCAACCTTCCCCGTCCCACTGAAAAAATACTAGGTTTGTAGTTGACATGGAGGAAGTTGGTGTAGCCTCTTTGCATTTTGATTTCCCAAAGAAAAGTATGTTTGAAACCCAGAAAATATCAAATAAACATTGTCAAATCAAGCCTCGGTTTTATATAGCACATTAAGGGTCACTTATAGGTACTAATATTGGCTTCTTCACTATGATGGGAAGGAGGCTGTTTCTTGCCATGTTTCCCCTAAATTGCAAGAATACTATTGTGACCCCTAATTTTCAAGTGATTTTTTTTAACTTACCAAATCTTTTAATCATTTATCTAATAGCTTTGTTACAGAAGGCAAAATCTAGGTGAAAACTAGAGACCTTTCCCTCTCCCGGTGTCCAACAGTTGTGTTTTAAAGCAGATTTCAATTCAGGATAGCAGAGGGAAGCTTTGCTTCATTTACCTTTTAAGCTATAAGAGCTTCAGGCTTATAAATCAATCTACCTTCCAACCAATCAATCAAAAGAGACCACCAGTTTCCATATAACAGCTCTCAAAAAGTTACGGCAAGAATCCGGAATCTGCTTATAGGTGAAATCAGAATCTGATGGGGTTTGTGCTAAAAAGTCTTCTTCCTGAGGTGAAATGGGGGGATGAGATTCTGCCAGTGAGCTACATCCTCTGCTCATCGTGTTCATTGTATAGCCCAGGCTGATCTAGAACCCTCGACTCTCCTGGCTCAGCGTCCAGAGTTCGGGGATCACCAGGATGTATCATGCTCTGTCCAAATAGGATTTGCTGACTGCTCTCTGGTGACTACTTGGTAGACGTACAAAAGTTATCCCATTTTCCACTCTTTAGGACAAATTCATGTTGTTTTTCACTAGATGCTTTTTAAAAACACAAATTTATGTTTGAGCCCTTAAGAAAGAACATGGTTTCTTGGATGATCATGACCGGTTTAATTCATACCAGAACTGATAACCTCACTGATATAATTCAAAATGTCAGAAAAGTCTTTGTTTTTAATTTATTCTATTTTTAAAGACTTTTTTTTTTTGTTATTCAAGAGCACAGTAACTGTATGCACTGCATCCGCCTGCTAGAAGAGGGCATCAGGTCACAGTATAGATGGTTGTGAGCCACTACGTGGTTGCTGGGAATTGAACTAGGGACCTTTAGAAGAGCAGCCAGTGCCCTTAATTGCTGAGCTATCTCTCCAGCCCTGTTTGTGTTTTGTGGGAAGTGGGTTCTCCCACCACCATGAGTATCCCAAGAATTGAATTCAGGATCTGGAACCTTGCTTTTTCCTTGAGGTATCAAATAAACTTGGTAAACTTGATACCCTTCCTAAAAGATACATTTTTGTTATGTGGTTATGTTGACCACTTTGTTCTTTTAAATGTATCTCTGGTCTTCCCTCAGTCTAGAACAATCCCCTGCCTCACACTGTTCTTGGTGACTATCTCCTCGGAATAGTCTAGACATGTCGTCCTGCAGAGCTCTAAGCTTGGTATTCTTTTTAGTGGCTGTCATGTTCTCTTCTGTTTTAAGTGTAGCCCAGTGGGGTCACTTCTAAGGCCAGTTCCTGTGTCTTATTATCAGGGCCTCATTAATGTTGGCTACTTGGTTTCTGGTACAATGGATTGTTCACAACAGACACAAATCTAATAACCAATTATTTATTCAAACAGAGTACTGCTTCATTTTAATGGAGACTGATACAGACCTTTTCAATAGATTATATTAGTTAGGATTGTAAGTTTATCAGCCACATTGATACTTCTAGTTAAAATCAACCTATAGGAATATTTCCTATGTGCCCATTCCATTATATATATATATATATATATATATACACACACACACACACACACACACAAA